CCGCCCGACACGCGGCTGTTCACGCCCGTGACGTGGCTCTCCATCGGCTACATGTTGCCGGGCGCCCAGGGCGCCGCGCTGGCCCAGCGGGAGCTCCTCGCATCCGCCCCGTCCTCTGGTCCGTCGACGCCCAAGACGATCCTGTTCATCGGCGACGGCAGCTTCCAGATGACGGTGCAGGAGATGGCCACCATCGTGCGTCTCGAGCTCAACGTTGTCATCTTCCTCATCAACAATGACGGATATACGATTGAACGCTGCATCCACGGACGGAACCAGGCGTACAACGACGTTTCCCCGCTGCGGTACCTGGAATCACCGAGCTTCTTCGGCGCCAAGAAGAGCACTTATACCGCATCTGCGAGGACATGGCGCGAGCTGCAGACCGTGCTAGAGAGCGGGGCGCTCCATGACGAGAAGGAACTGAGGATGGTGGAGATCTTCTTGGGGCGGGACGATGCTCCCAAGGGGCCTCTGCTGCAGTACATGATCAGCCAGAAAGAGAAGGAATCTGCGACATGAGTACTAGAGAGAGGTCGGAGAAAACAGTCAAATAAATGAAGCAAGTAGCAAACCAAGACTAAACATGTAAATTGGTGGAATTGCTACTGCACAAGAAAGTACCGGACTTCTCAAGTTGTTGAGATGCGAATTGATCCTTCCGATCACGGTCATTGTTGATTCCCGCCAATCGAAGCAACACGTGATCTGGCAACTGGCTGAGTCAGCAATATGACAATCCCCTACTCAGCACATGTTCTCATGCCATTCTCAAGAAGATTTCGCCTGGAAACGCTGTTCACCAATATCAATCACAGCAATCATGTCGAGGCAGGAGATATTACACGCATACAGGCACCTCTACCGCGGCCTTCTCCGGGCCGTGCAGTTCTCTGTCAAGGGTCGGTACACAGCACGCGACCAGCTCCGAGCAGCCTTCCGTGACAAGAACGCGACCTTTGAGGCCGAGAGCGTCAAGCGCACCATTTGGTTCATCAACTCGGCTGCCCTGGAGCGCGGCCTGGAACATAGCATCCTGAAGAACCTCATTCGCACAGCCTATGCGCGTCAAAAACCCGAGACCTGGCGATCTGCCGTGAAAACAGCCAGGCAACCCAAGAAAAAGTGAGTTTCGCAGCAGCCCCCGTTGAGACGATTGCCAGTGGTGGTGACGGAGAGAAATTGACCGGAAGTAGAACTCAGCAGACAGCCGACGACGCTATTGCGAATGGCATGAAGCATTACGACATGACTGTGGCGATGCTGAACAAGACGATGGGCCTGTGTCTCCGGTGAATGAGACATGTGCTCATTCGCTGAAGCCATCGAGCTCGATCAGGCCCTGAGCTCAGACGCCACAATATGCATGCGCAAGCTGGGCATGGTCACCCTCGAGCAAACGAACAGAAGTCGACGACTACCCGGTTGCTCTTAGTCAGAACCTCAGAAGAGCAGCCTCGAGAGGGTGTTCGTGGAACTGGTATGGTTGGCTGGGTAGCGGCAGGCAAGTTACGCGGGGTTGGAGCCACTGTCGAGTGGAAATGCGCCGTCGACATGCATGGCGGGATCATTCCCCAACCCAGCCGGCCTGGTGGTTTGGAGAACCGCTGCTGGCGCCCGTTGGATGTCGATTATTACTCCAGAGAGCAGCATCCGAAGACCCAGGGGCCGTGATCGCGCAAGCTATATGAGGGCTTTGCTGCTCAGCTTCATTGCCAAGACATGTCGACAGAGCTCGGAAGCGCAGCCGCCGATTCACAACACAGTCGTGGATCGCTCATGTCGGGTCGTTGGATGGCGACAGTTGGGCAGGGGAAGGTTCGAAAATGACGTTAGTATGCATCGAATCGGCATACTCTTACCCCGTGCCGCCCAAGCGGTGGGACGCCTCAGACAGACAGTTCGACCAGCCTCTCAGGCCGGGCGAAGTCCCAGATCCTCTGGAATCCTGGTATCCACCCATGTTAAAGAAGCAGACCGGAACAACATTAGACGAGGTAGCTGCCCAAGATAGCTACCTAGCCAGCATTAATAGCCTCATCACTTGTGCGAAACTGCCTAGCTGGAAGCGACATATATGTTCAGAATGGTAAGATACCATGTGACAACGCAGTCAAGTCATGATGTTCTGCCCAATGCAGCTCCGGTGGGCCCCAAGAAGCCTCTAGTCCCAGAATCGTTGCAACGGCGAATCAACAGCCTTCACGCGGTGGAGCTTCATTGGCGCGCCCGCAGTTCGCAGCTCGACCAGAGGCCGCCAGGTACCGGTAGTGCACTCGCTCTCACTGTCTGCTGTGACTCCACTGGAGTGAGCCGCTGGACCTGGACGCTCGCTGCATCATTTACCCCCCCCCCCCCAGCAGCCCCAAAGCCGAGTGCCCGGCTATCCACTGACCAGTGAGGAACCTCCCTACCGATCGGAATGTCCTCTTGGACGCTCCCTCTCGATGCCCGCATTCGAACATGCTATGACCCCGCAATCACTCCGACTTTGTCTTCCCTTCTTCTTCTTCACTCTCACGCATCATCGCCCCATCTGCATGGGAAGTCGCTACTCCGGTCACAGTTCTTGGGGGTTCAGCTCTCGATCTCCCAGGCAAAGACGGTTGAAACACGACTGAACAATTCATTGCCCGCCTCCACTGTCTGATCTTCCCTTATCGCCTCGCCTCGGTCTCGACCGCCCACTCAAACGCCGCTAGTTCTCCACCCCCCATCCCGTCACTTGAGGGCCCGTCACAGCTTCACAGCGGAGAGGGGTCTGCTTGTACGGATGGAACCACGTCTATAGACGTCCGTCCGCGTCGTCACCAGAGTGAGCCGAGGGCCTCTCAACCTTCCTTCGGGCCAATCTCTTTGCTACTCATACACACCACGAATCTTGAAGCTCCAGCTCCGACGTCCAACAGGGAGAAGACACACAAGACCCACGACATCTGCCCACCGCCAGACTCACACCTGGACCACCAGCAGCGGCAGAGACGCAGAAGCATGCCCGCCCAATTCTTAGAGAGACACCATGTGCCGACCACCGTCACACCTTCGATCATGCCTCAACACGAAAAGCCTCAGAGGCTGGTCAAGCGATACCGTACAGAAATTGCCGCCAGCACGTCTAGTGTATTCTCCACCGTCGTCGCCTTTCCTCTCGACAGCGTGAAGACGCGTATGCAAACCTACCGATATGATGGCTTCCTCGACTGCGTCCGCCACACGTACCAGACCGAACAGCTACGGGGCTTCTTCAGAGGTATGTGCCTCTTTCCCCTCTTCCGTGACGCTCGCCACAGGACACGCCAGAGTAACTAACTAACACGCCCCCAGGTGTACTGGCCCCGACCGCCAGCGTAACCCTTGTCCGAACCGTCTCCTTTTCTATATACCAGCGCGCCAAATACGGATACTCGGGCTGGATCAAGAAGAATATGGGTGTCGACGTCCTCGACCACGTCAACAGGAAAGGCACATATCCCAACTTTTACTCAGTCGCCTGCTTCGGCGCGGCTGGCGCCACGGCCGGCTCCTGTATTACAGTCGTCGCTTGTCCGTTTGAGCTCACCAAGCTGAGCGCCCAAGTTTCCGTGTTGCTCTCAGATCAGAAGAAACTCGCAGAGGCGAACTGCCGCGTGAGCAACGGCCACGCCGTTGCCGCGAGCTACCAGAACAAGGGGACATTCAAGACGATGCGTAACATTATTCGCCATCGGGGCATTTTTGGACTCTATACTGGTTTTAACCTGCACCTGCGTAAGAAGCCCCACCCCGCTTTCGTCTTCTCAGCTTGAGGCAGCAAACATGAAAAGCTAAAACCAACTGTGCAGTACGGGACACACTCGGCACCCGCTATTTACTTCATGGTGTATGAGAGCGGCAAACAGCTCGGCACAACATACGGCGGCGATAGCCCCACGACGAACAAATTGGCGGTCGTTGCATCAGGTGGATTATGCGGCATCGTATCATGGGCCATGATCTGTACGTTTTTTCTTGACCTTAGGGACATGGAGCCTCCCAGCTGACCTTAACCCCAGACCCCATTGACTCTGCCAAGAGCATCTATCAGCGTAACTCACTTTTATACTCGCGAGGGCAGCAGGTCGAGCCGCCTCCGAAGATCACGTTCTTTCGGAAGCACATGTATCGCGGCCTCGGCGTGTCCATGGGACGCTCCTGCGTCGTCAACGCAATCTTCTTCTCTGCCTTTGAGTTTACGAAGAAGCACGTCAACTCGCTGGATGACGATTAAGGGGGCAAGCTCTTTCCCGAACAAGGAAGTTGCTGCGTCACCCCACTGATGAACACCAGAACCACTGGAAACAAATTTGTATGGGCATAACTGAAAGCTTGCATGGCAGGACAAGGGGCGGCGTTACGGAACTGATCTTTTTTTTTTCTCTTTTCCCTCTACGGAGGCGAGTATGCCACGTGCATGCCGGACAACGGGGACACGGACATGGACACAGACTAGGAACATGGGACATCAGGGCGGGTGGAACAGACCAGATAGGAAAGACCCAAAGATATCGTTCGTCAAGCTATTAAAAGCAATCGAGGAAACACATTTCTCGCACTAGTGAGCTTCGGCTGATGTGCTGCGGGGGCCTTTTTTTCTGGCAGATCGAAACGCAGTGGTCAGACTGTGGCTCCTGTCAAGGCTGTTGGGAGGCTACAGTCTGTTGAAGCTCGTGTTTCAAGGCCTAGGCAGCTCCAAGCTTCTGGAACCTCGGACCAAATTGGGCATGAGTTAGACCGTGAGCCAGTGCGGTGGCTGATAATGCCTCACGATGAGATACCCGCCATGCCGCCAACCCCTCGATGTGCTGCGTCGGTGCTGGGGCACAGAGAAGGGGGATGCTTCAGGTCAACCCTCGGGTTAACAACCCAACGTTCTTGGGTACTTTGGACTTCGGGGTGAATGGGTCTCACGGCAGACAAACCCACCAACCAGCATGCTCCCAATGCAGGATCAACCAAATCCAGGAATGTTTTCGGACTATAGTAGTCCCAGGACCGATTGGCGCCTTGAACACCTGCTTGTGGAGCCGGGCGGGCCGTTCTGCACCTCTCTGACCAGGCCTTCACGGTGGCCGCCAATGGTCGAAAGCCCCACATGACTTGAAGAGACTCGGCGTCAACTATCAGTCGGGCGACTACCCTTTACGCCCAACATCATTCTCACATTCTGCAACTGCACTTTGCGAGTCTCAACGTGTGTACCAAGCTCTGAGTCGCTACAAGACGCACGCTGGGGCGTTCGCTTTCTTTATTTCATCGGAGCGCAAATTTCGTCAGCTCAGGGAGCTTGTTTCACTTCTTCGCGTTCGCGTTCGCAGTTCACGTCCTCTCTCATCCCGAGGGATCAGCACCTGAATGAAGGCAGGCTTATCAGCTTCGCAATACGTGTCCAGGACATTGATACAGAGGCCACCTGAGCTCTCAACGCGTTGGAGCGGCTGTTCTCGTTGACACTGGCCACCGTTGCTCGTCCGCTTCTTTCGCTTCTTGGTTTCAGGCCTGTCGTTCTGTCTCATTGCACGTGCAACTAACCCTGACGTTCCCTGGCCCTCGCGGCTTCCTGTACTCTTGTTCGTCATTGCCATGATCAGTCACTGGTACGACTAGGACTCAACCATGGGGAGAGAAAAGAGGGCTGGTCCGGCCGTCGTCACGGCGAAGGACAAGGCCCGAAAACGCAAGGAGATTGACCGCAAGGCACCCCTGCCATCTGGCTTGAAAGCTGCCAGGGACACAAGTACCAAGTACAAGAGTTTCTTCGAGTTGGTGCAGAACAAGGATTTTAAGAGCAAACCGCTCGAGTTCGAGGTACCAGCCTACGCCGACGATGAAGCCTCATGTCCAGTCCCCTGACCCTGCCACAGAAAACGTCAAAACGCGAACCCCCTCCGCTTTTCGCCTTTGTGCCCGTCGGCAACCCTGAGCTGGCTGTGGCGTGCAAGGAACTCTCGCGCGAGCGAGGGGCCATGGTCTACATCGTATCCGTACGGCAGCCTCAACCACCTCACACAGTTGTTTGATACGCACCCACTAACCCAACACGTTCATAAGGAGACCAGAAATGACAACATCTCCGACCTTGTACACCAGACGAACCGGATCGGCTACCACTTTCGTCAACAGATCGTACAAGAGGCCGCCCGTACATTAGGCATCGATTATTTCAACAAACCTCAGCAACTTGCGCCCAATGGCTGCGAGCTGATCCCGTCTTCTCAGGTGGACATTAACAATCAAGCTAGGGCTGCTATTGATGACCTATTTCCCAAGATGCCTGGACTCGACAAGGAAGAGATTGTCGCTCGCGCTTTTCGAAAGGTATCAAACACCCAAGATGGCACAACAACCAAGGAGGCTAATCACATGACAGAATGCCATGTTCAACGGCGAGCTTGTCGTTGGAATGCAGCAAGATTTGACTCTCTCTCGCCGTGTGCAGTTAGCTGTGCTGGCTCACATTAGGCACGCCCATACGCGGTATGACGAACTTCTTAGGGAAACCACATGGTCCAACGCTCGAAGAGCCACGGAGGCGCTTTGCCTCGATATCCTCGTCAAGTGGCGAGGCGATGACGAGTCTGGGCGAGACCAGCTCGACGAAATCATGAGAGAGATTGTGGTCGTGACAGACGACGAAGGCGACGATGCCCCGGAAGATGCCATCGACGATCCTGATTCCGACTCCTCGAGCAGCGTCGAGTTTCAAGGCAGCAATGCCCTTGTGCCTAACCCCATCACAGCTCTTGATGCAGCACGCAACACTCCTCTCAACGGTCGTGCGGCATCCGCTAAACCTCAGCGGAAGGCGCGGAAGAAGCAGGGCATTCCAGTGAAGTCGGCGAAGTCAAGGAAGGCTCAGCTGCACGAGCAGCGCAAAGCCCAGAAGAGTCTCAAGCGGTACGAGGTGGCTTGGAACCAGGCACTCGACCGTCAACGGGCGAACCCGAATCCTCAAGAGGCGCCCGAGGCTGGTGGATCTGCTAGTCACGGATCCTATCCTCACGGGTTTTCTGATTATCCAGTATCTCCATCCCATCCCTCTCCCCATCTCTCTGCTATTCGTGGGCCGTCTCAAACGGGGTATACATTGGGGTATACTCAGAGCGGCATCATTGGCGAGCCACGGCCCGGTTCATATTTTCGACCTCCCCCCCATTACCTGAACCACACTTTACAGCATCCGAAAGACCTACATTCGAAGCGGCAAGCGAACCTTGGCGCCAGGTGGGTGTTCATAATATAGCACGCTCTAGGAGCCGGCCCTCAGACGGCTACAACGTACCTCTGCAGGACATGCTACATCCGTCCATTGAACAGCCGTCCCCTCAGCGTCCCTCCTTTGGTCAGCGCGAGGAACGGCCCATGACCCCAACATACCGCGGACCCGATTCCCTACAGAGAGTAGCAGCGGGTCGAGAAGGCCGTCCCCTAGTTTCTCTGGAGCGGCACCTTGCTTACAATGACGGCGGCCACGCACCCCGTGAATGGTATGAGCCAAGGAATCGACAGCCTATCCTGCGTGATCCTGGCTATTCTTCCATGCTAGAGTCTCCATTCAGACCAGATGCCAAGCCACACGGTAGTAGCGATGCCCACTTGTATCGGGCGCCAGCCCAACAAAGACCCCTGTATGAACGTGTGCCGGAATATGGACACACTCAACCTTCGCCACTACAATGCGAGGTCATTGTGTTAGACAGGGACCGAATCATGCGCGACGTGCATAGCCCTGATCACAGGATTAGTGACTTCCAACGGAGCAGGCAGGCACACTTACCACAGGCACCTACCTTGGCGCCACAAGCCCACGGCTCGTCCATGCCGGAGGGATTTTTGCGGCTGAGGGAAGGTGTGCCGCCTGCCCTGTCGCATGCCACCCTACGCGATGAAGGATTCGTACGACTCAGGGAGTCGCCTCAGATCCGGCGTGACCCAGCAACAGCCCACGGCACCTATCCACGGGCAAACGGACAGCGATCTGGATTGGATGGCGTTTACAACATGCCAGAGGCAACACCAGAACAGCCTGTTTATGTTCGACGTGCCGGGCCCGGTTTTGATAGCCCCTATCGACAAGGCTATCATCCTCATGATGTTCGTGATGCAGGACCCTCGTCTGGACGACAACACGACCAGACGTCAGTGAACCCCCATGCACGCTGCGTTTGAAAGTCGGCTGACTGTTCTTATAGGTCATTAGACTACCCCAGCCGGCCAGCCCACGCTCAGCACGCGCCCTACCGCGGCTACGCAGCGCAGCCCATGTCAGCCGAGAGTAGTTCCAGTGGATATGTCATCAATGATCGTCAATACACTCCTCGGACGCCGCTACCCCCTGATCACCAGATCATACTCATCGATAGTTGAATCGCGGCAGCCCGGATTGGCGGTGACTTTTGTGTGTGTATGGATTTGCATGACGAATGTCGTTGAAATCACAGAGGTCAAGACGGCATTGATGTTATCATCGGGGTACGGAGTTCATGATTTGGAAAGATGGCCCTTTTGGTTTTGTCGTGAGAGGAACACTTCAGCATTTGCATGGAGGAGCGGATTTGCTTGCTTTTCTGCCCAGAGTGGTTGGTCAATGAAGGCGTACATGGACTCGTGGAATGATACCCGTACGGAGAGGATTGTCTGTCTGGGTAAGCCTGTACTCATCGGTCGAAGGAGCATGATGACGATAGAAGCATAAAGGGCGGCTAGCCACCTAGCGGCATTTTGCCGCTGAATCAATCTTGAGAAGATTTTGTTTCGAACCATTGAATGCCATGTAAACTTTGTGTGTCTAGAGTATGATGGGGATTCGCAAAGAAGGGGCGGGGGGGAGGGGGCGCCGCCCAAAGTCGATCTTCTAGAGTATCCCTATGAGAATGCTACCTACCGCCAATGCGCACCAACTCCGTGCCAACTCCCAATATACCCAAAGCCGGTCATCGTAAACAAGCATATGCGCCAAAGAAAGAAGCAACAAAAAAAAATAACAATGGTCCGCAAACCATCCCATCGCTGCGTTGTGTCGTGGACGTCGTTCCAGCCAGGTCATGCCGGCACCATCTGTCTCCTCTCCACCTGCCTCACCCTCTGCGGCTGTTCCTCGTCCTCCTCTTCCGTCGTCGGTCTCGTGAGCTCCGTATCCGGCGCAACGGGCAGATCGTGCCTCTGCGGCGGCACACCCTGTGCCACCTCTTCCCCGGCGTGCAGCCTGGCCTCCATCTCGGCGAGCTCGTCCTCGACCTCCTCCTCCTCCGAGTTGGAGATGCGCCCATTGAGCAGCTCGGCAATCTCCTTCTGGTACGCGAGGGCCTCGGCGTTCTCGCCCATCATGCGCTCGACGCCCTCGACGCCGCCCATCTCAGCCTGGATGTCCTTGAGCACGCGCGAGCCCTGCTGCAGGCCGAACATGACGTCCTTCTGTATGAGCGCAAACTCGACGTTGGACGTCAGGTGCTGCAGCTGGGCGAGCTGGGCGTCCGTCTTGGCGAGGAGGGATTCTTGGTACTTCTTGCGGCGCAGGGCGAGGAGGGCCTTGTCCTTGTCGCCCTTGGCGAGCATCTGCTTCGCGATGGCCGTCTCCTTGTCGGTCAGGAGGGTGATGCGCTTCTGGTATTGGTGGAGCTTGTCACGCTGGAGCTTCATGTCGAGGATGGCCCTGGAGAAGAGGAGGCCAACGAGGACCCTCGGTCAGTCCGCGTTGCAGGGAACATGCTGTCTGGCTTTTGGCTGACGGGAAGGGGAAGAAGCAGAAGAAAAGAGGGAGTGTGAGAGCGGGGAGGAGGGGGGGGGTTTTGTTCAGGAGGGGAGAAAGTACTTGTCTTGCGCCGTGACTTTGCTGCCGTTTGCGCCCATTTTGATGTGTGATTGCGGTGGGCAGACCGCGCGACTTGTGGGAGAGGAGGGAACGCCGCGCTGCGAAGGTATAGGGGACGCGGACTTGTCGCGTTGTTGCAGGTGCTTCGTTTCGGAAAAGAGGCTCGAGGTGACGGCTTAAGGCGTGCGCGCTGTGGTACTGTGCTGAGTGACATGCGACGGGGGGCCGGTCAACGGCGTCTGCTTGGCGGGCTGTGGCTGGCCTTTCGTCATTGTTACGGGCCCCCCGATGTGGGATGTAATAGGCAGATAAGCCGAGGTCGCGTGTCTTATCGGTGGTGATGAACAGTCGTGATTCTTATGTCAGCATATCTGGTCTCCTCATTGTCTCTTGTCTCGCTTCATATGCATCGTCCACGGACTGATGACATGGACATGGGACAACCACGATAACATGCCATTTCCGATGCTGGACGGTGACGCGACTGGAGCAATCTCGGGCTGCTTCACTGGTCACAGACGTCCATGAAACCTTCCGCGTGCATGTTGCACTGAGTCTCAACTCTGCTCTTATCGATAACATGTTGAAGACCCCTCTACCAATCACAGACTCGTCCAGCAGGCCCCATTAAATTTTTTGACGACGATGTTCATGAGAGAGCACAATTCAACAACGCCTCACTCAGTTAAACACAAGCTTTATCAGACCGGCGCATGGTGGGCCCGGCCTCGAGAAACAACGCATCATGCTCAAAAACGGACGCCCAAAGGCGAATCTTCGCAACAGCCTCGACCGCGACGTCTATCAGATCGTGAAGAAGCTCGAGGATGAACGCACAGCCAACCAGCCCAAGGACAGGAAACGCGCAAAGCTCACCATTTCGGGTGTCTACGACATCATCAAGAAGTCCAACTCGAGTCTTGCTCGGCAGAAGAGGAAACCCTTGGAGGACGCCATCGATCGCTGCTTGGACTTTCTGAAGCAGGAACAGTCCGATTCTGAAGACAGTGAGGCGGCGTTGGATGAGATCAACGAGTCAAACAAAGTGAGTGAGCTGTCGATATGATACCACCAGAAGAGGCCTCTGATAATCCGCAGCCCGAAGATCGCTTCTTGCTCAACCGACAGATGGCCAAACAGTGGAACGCCACGGCCCAAGGCGCTGAGGGGAAGAGCACCAAGCGGCGACGCCTGTCTCCAGAGCCAGACGCCGTTAACGGGACTGAGGCCGTCAGCGACGGCTCTGCTATTACCCCTGGAAAACCATCCAAGACCAATGGAACGGCACAGGCCGAGGCTCAAGCTTCAGGGACAAAGAAGGCGCCGAAGCCGCCCAAGTACGCCGCCGAACAAGTCGATCCAGAGTCTATCGTTCTCGGAGGCGTGGCATCGACCGTGGACGAACTCGACAGGGCCATTTTCTCACGTCTCAGGCGACCGGAAGGTCGTCAACGCCTCCAAGGAATGCCCGTTGGCTACATCATTTCTGGGCCGCCCGGTACCGGCAAACAGTCTGCCGTGCGTATGCTCGCCGCTATCAGCTCTACGCCCATCATACCCCTAGGAAAGCATCTAGAGGAGGCCACAAAGTCGCCAGAAAAGGTGACCAAGATCATAACGGACGTCTTCGACGAAGCCACAAAATGTGCTCCATGCATCATCTTAATCGAAGGCTTGCACGACTACATGCCCAAGTCGGGCAACACACAGAGTGACCGAGAGCAAGAAATTGTGACCCAACTCAGGATAGGCATGAGACGCCTACGGGACTGGCAGCGGGAGAATGAACCCGTCTTCGTCGTGGCTACTACCACCAAGATTGAAACCATCGACGCCAGTCTGTGTACGCCCGACCTCTTCGCGCGCACTCTCAACATCAAGGTTCCGAACGCCGATGCGCGCGAGGCCATCTTCCGGGTACTGTCTTGCCACCTTGCCTTCCGGAGAGCTTGAAT